CTGTGGAAGGTGCATAATGAAATCGCAGCAGAGTCAGAGTTTGTTTGAGGCCAGTCTCGGCTTCCTAGCATGTTTGAGGCCAGCCTAGACTTCCCGAAACCCTGTCTCAAAAAACACATCAAGCCTACTGAGCTCAGCTTAAGTCACGTAAATTATTCCAATTTTCCCATTCCCATATGCACAGTGAAGCGATTCCACTCTGATCATCACCCAATTGCACGGATTTAGGAAAATGGTGAGTGGAGTCAGAATGTCCTCTGAATTGTGGCGACAGAACTTGTTTTGCCAGCGAGGATCCTTGGTCAACAATTGTATTTATTTTCATCTTTCAGGAATGGAATTGGAAGCCGGGCATGATGGCGCACACTTTTAATCCCAGAATTTGGGAGACAAAGGCAGGCAGATCTCTGTGAGTTTGAGGCCAGCCTGGTCTACACAGAAGGTTCTAGGCCAGCCAGGTGCTCTACAATGAACTCTAACCCCAGTGTTTTCCCTTTGGGAGACAGGGTTTCACTCTTTGCCTCACTTGAACTCCCTTGCCGGCCAGGCAGGCACTGCCTCACCACCCAGAACAGCTGGGGCTCCTGGGCTGCCTGAGCGCGGGTCATTGGGATGGTGACTTTAACCAGCATCTGTAATCCAGCACTGTGCACTCCTCGGAGAACTGTTCCTTCTCTTTGGGGATGTGCACCCCTGAAAGCCTAATTTCAACCTCCTGAAGGGTATTTCTTAAGGACGCCCAGGCAACTGGGAGGCAACGTCTTCACACCCAAAGGGCTGGAGATTGCAGTCGGTAAAAGACCTTGACACAAGGCTGTGTGTGTGTGTGTGCGCGCGCGCATCCTAATTTCTGCCTCCGTTTAAGAGGCTCCCTGGGGGCTAAGCCCTTAGTAAAGTTAACTTATTAACCCTTAGTAAGGCGTGATTAACCAGCCTTGTTAGCCCTTACTAAACACACTACCGCCTGCCAATGTGAAACCTCATTCCGTCACAGCAAAGTAAACTAGCAATGACAGCAACACATCGACTCAACAGCTTCACGCCGCTGAAGAGCGGGTAGGCTCGGTAAGTGTGTGTGTCCCTTCGATATAGTGGTCTGTTCCCTGGGGTCGCTCTTGGAAAAAGATTCTCACTTCAAGCATCCTGCCTGAGGACCGCGGGTATGCAGATCCTGACGCTCCCAGCTATGCGTGTGCGGCTGGCATCACTCACCACTCCCGGAGGGACCAGCCCAAATCCGGAGCTTTGACATCCTCGGGGCTTTGGCGTACAAGGTCCCGCAACCTCCCCAACCCGCCTGTCAGCCCCAAGAACCCGGCTGTCGCTTTTCCCGGGTCCGCGAGCCCTCGAGCTGCAGGTGTCGCGCGCGGGATGCGCCGCAGGGAAGGGCCCCTGCTCGCCGAGGGGTGTGAACGCGCGATGCTCGCGGCGAGGCCGGGTGTGGTTGGCCACACGCCGCCTCCGCCGAGGGGATGTCAGGGTGAGGGGAAAAAGCGGCTCGCGGTTGGAGGTCAGACAGAAGCGGCCCCGGATACTCACTCAGCCAGGACTCCAGACTCTCCCCTTCCGCCTCCGCCATATTGCAGCCGCCCGTTCCGGCCCTGCGGCCTCAGACCTCGCGAGATTCTGCGCGAGCCGGTCCGGGGCGGGGCTTGCATGGGGGCCTGAGAAGGTTGGGAGCTGCCGCCGGCAGGCGCGCCAGACTGTGTCAGATTCCGGGAGGACGAGCGTATTTTGTCGCTTGTTCTTCGAAGGGAAACTCCGACGTAAAACCCAGTCTTGAGTAAACTGTGCGGTTTCTCATCCGTATCCTGTCACTCATTCAGGCGCGCTGCGGGCAGCCCTCTGAGGTCCTTGAAGCGGGCCAAGATGGCTGCGCCCGCTCTGCAGGCAGCGCGACGGTGGTCGGGGCTGGCCGTGGGAGTGAGGCTTGCTGTCTGGAACCTTCCAGGGTGAGAAGGCAATGGGGGGGGGGAGCTGCCACCGCCGCCCAGGCCTTTACAGGAGGACCTGGGGAAAGGAAAGGAGGCACAGACAAGCCGCGCTGAGTCCTGGAGCCCTGCTCGGGGACCGGGGTGGCCGAATGAAGCTATCAGCGGGCCAGTTTGAGGGTTTAGTGCCTTGCCCCTTGCCCGACAGGTTGGGTTGATCTAGACCGGTTCTACCCCGAGTCGAAAGTGCGGCCCCGCTTGAGATCTCAGAACTGGAATTGCCTAGGCGGCTGGGGGAGAGCTGTCCTCAGTAGTGTTCGCAAAGGAGGAATTTTTAAGTGCCCGATTTCGGAGAGGGCTGCCTACCTCTTGGGGCAAGAGTCAGAACTGCTGCTGTTGCGGTTTAGTTTGCGGTCCCAGCGTTACTGTCCCTTGTCAGCGTGCCGGCAGGCGGGCTTATTGTTAAGTCAGGCTTGTTTACCTGTGCAGTCACAAGTTCATTTGTGGAGTTCTCTCGTCTGCTTCCTCCTCTTCCCGCTCCCAGGATAACCCAGGTGAGGTGGAGCCGCTATGCCCCGGAATACAGGGATCCCTTGATTGACAAGGAGTATTACCGCAAGCCTGTGTCGGAACTCACCGAAGAGGAGAAATATGACCAGGAGCTCAAGAAAACCCAGCTCATCAAAGCTGCCGCAGCGACGGAGACGAGCTCCGTGTTCGCAGACCCTGTCATCAGGTGAGGCAGAACCGCTCAGCTGTGGGCTGCCACTAGCCCAGGACAGGTTTCTGCCGCAAGAAATCCAGCGTTGGGAAACTAAACATGTTTTTCTCTTTGAAGCAAATTCACCAACATGATGATGAAAGACGGGAACAAAGTGCTGGCCCGATCGCTCATGGCCCAGGTAAATCGGGTTCTTCTGCTCTGCTTCTCTCTTTCCCCTCTGCCTTGGGTCTGAGAGGGGTTTCTCTGTGTGTCATTGAAATTAATTTCTGGGAGCTGGGAGTGGTGGCACCCAACAGGTGTCCCATCACTGTTGGAGAGGGCTTTGAGTCCAGCATGCAAGAGGCCAAGGCCAAGCAAGGCAGGCGGATCTCTCTTCAGAGTGCCAGGACGGCCAGAGCTACACAGAAATCTTGGTTAGGGGGTGGGGTGGGATTCTCACCGGTTCTTTGGGTCAGTCTAGTAACGCAGTAGGCACCTAAACTCTTTAGTTTTTTTTGAAAGAGGATCTCGTGGAGCACAGTCTAACCTGCACCCTGCTGTATATCTGAGGATAACTTTGAACTCTTGATCCTCCTGCCTGCACCTCCCAAGTGCAGTCGCTGGCCTGCAGCACCACTCCTAGCTGCTGGCTGAGCGGCCTCTTCCTTCTCTTTGCAGACCCTGGAAGCTGTGAAGCGGAAACAGTTTGAGAAGTACCACGCTGCCTCTGCAGAGGAGCAGGCCACCATCGAACGGAACCCCTACAAGATCTTCCACCAGGCCCTGAAAAACTGTGAGCCTGTGATCGGGTTGGTGCCTATCCTCAAAGGGGGCCATTTCTACCAGGTGAGTGGACAGTAAAGCAGGGCAGCCCACATGTGAAACTGATCGGGGAGTGAGGGTTCAGAGTTGGGCCATGTATAATAACCCCTGGGCACTGTCAGGATCTGCTCCTCTGAGGCCCAGAGTGTAAAAACCACAGTTAGGAGGTGGAAAGACAGAACAAAGTAACTCAGTAACTCCCATCCCTTTGTCCAGTATTCTGTGTAGCCTATGCTATGAACTCGTGGTTTAGGAGTGTGCTCACAGGCCAGTGCCTAGAACACAACTTGAGCCACGAGCGTTCACCAGTTATGAGCTGAGCTGGCCACCCTGTCAGAGCATTTAATTATATTATCACATTAGGGTGTCATTAGGGTGTCTTCTCCCTTAGTGGCAACTCCAAAGACTAGGGGATTTTCTTTTGCTGTGCTTAGTGTATGGCATGCAATGGGACCAAGAAAATCGTTTTATTTTTACATACCCTTGGTCTGAGGTAGCCAGTTTGCCTTGAGTAGCACGACTTTCTGAATTGGTGCTGGTGTCGACTTGGCAAAGCTTCTCCTTAGGAAGGAAAGTGCCTAGTGAACTTACTAAGTGAATGTTTCTGTCCTCGGGTCCTATCCCAGGACTACTCCCGAGACAGTTCACAGTAGCTTCTAGGAGGTGGTGGCCCTCACACCGTCAGGCCCAGCTCAGCTTCAGCTTGTCTCCCCGTCCAGGTCCCTGTACCCCTCACTGACCGACGTCGCCGCTTCCTGGCCATGAAGTGGATGATCACAGAGTGCCGAGAGAACAAGCCACGGCGGACGCTGATGCCAGAGAAGCTGTCGGATGAGCTGCTGGAGGCTTTTCATAACCGGGGTCCCGTGATCAAGCGGAAGCACAATATGCATAAGATGGCGGAGGCCAACCGTGCCCTGGCCCACTACCGCTGGTGGTAGCGGAATGGGGAGATGGACAAAGTCCAGGACAGTACCACAGGGGCCACCACAAGGGACAGTACTTGAGGGGCTGGAGAAATGGCTCAGCGGCTGAGAACACTGGCTGCTCTTTCCAGAGGGATGTGGTTCGATTCCCAGCACCCACATGGAGGCTCACTAACCTTCTCTAACCCTGGTTCCAGAGAATTTGACACCTTCTGACGGCTTTGGGCACCAGGCATGCATACAGTACTCAGACATACATGCAGGGAAAGTGTCTATACATATACCACTACTAATTAAAGTAATTTAGAAAGAAACGACTTGAGCTACTGCCCTGTTGTAAAGTTCTGGAAGGAACTTAAGGATGGAGAGGGTCTTTGTAATGTAACCTTAGACCCTATGAAACCTTTGATTCTTCCACGCCTGCTGGAAATTGGGAAGGTACAGCTTGGGGTGTGCAGCTGCCCCTCACTTAGACTCAGGATCTCAGGAGCCTGTGCTGCCCAGTAATCCAGACTGGTTCCCCTCCCCACCCCCTAAAGCACAACATGTCTCCTTAGAGATTTCTTCCAAGAAACTCGGGTCCAACCAGCTTGGGGTATACCTTTGGCCGTTAGGAAAAGGAAGCAGTTTGGTTACAGAAAAGATTTATTAGAAACCCTCCCCCTGACCTGGCGAGGCCCTGTCACTGATGGAAACAGACGGGAAGATGCAGGCCTCTCCACAGTGTCTCTGTACAAAACGTAGAGAACACTTTCTCAGGTCATTTGTAACTCTGCTGCCCTTAATGTCCCAGAGCATCCCACCAGCGGCCCATTTTACAGATGGGGAAACTGAGGCACCAAGGTAGTAGTATTGCGCCAGTGGTTACACAGTTCAGTGGTTGTTAGGAGTTGCCTTTTCCTGCCTGGCCCAGGCGGAAGCTGAAAGGACTTGGAGGAAGAGGGAAGCTGGGCGGTCTCCAGCCAGGGACCGGGTCTGTTTTCTCCACAGCTCCAGAGGGAGGGAAGGGGGATCATAGAAAGGTGTGGCCTCGCTCAGTCCAGAACCTCGCTGTAGTAGTACTGATGGGCAGCAGGAGTGGTCTTCCAGCCAGCCGCCCGGAACTCGATGATCTCCAGCAGCAGCAGCCGGGCCAGGGAGCTAAGGTCTATTGGCAGCAGGAAGCCATCCCGGATTAGGACAAAAAGCTCATCCATGCGCTGCCCATTCATCTTCTCCAGCTGCTCCCCAACCCGGTGCAGCTGCAGCACTAGGCAGTCTACCTGCAGGGGCAGTGCAAGGCCTGCTCAGCCAGAGGGAGGACCGGCCTGGCACACCTGCTGTGGACCGTGCACTGCCCTTTATAGTGGCTCCTTGCTTCATTCTGACACCAGGGGGTATAACCCACATCTTACCACAGACTTGCACAGAACTGACCAGGCCGAACGCGGGTCTGGGCCTGTCTCCAAGCTGTTGCTTAACCCCACTCTGGCTTTGCTACCCCCAAATGCCGGACTCAGGAGCTGGTTTCTGACTGGGTGATGGTGACACACTATAATCCCAGCACTTAAGAGGCAGAGGCAGGCACACCTCTCTGAGTTCAAGGCCAGCCTGGTCTACAGAGCAAGTTCTAGGACAGGCTCCAAAGCTACACAGGGAAACCCTGTCTTGGAAAAACCAAAAAAAAAAAAAAAAAAAAAGTTGGTTTCTGGGCCATCTGTGCCCACAGCTGGCCACAGCTCTTGCTATTCTTAGCGTGGGCTGGCTGCCCTCCTGGGGAGCCTGTAGCCTTGGCTGCTGTGCGTTCTGGGTAAATTCCAGACACTGTCATTTGTCTTGTAATTGCTGCAGGCCTTAAATGCCCCTACTCGGCACTGGCCGAGGAGCAGTGGCCTCCATGAGCGGGACTGCTGGGCTCCAAGCCAGCATGCCCGCCACAGCTTTCTGTCCACTGGCCACTCACCTCCTCTTCCCTGCTCAGACTCTCAGGCTGGGCCAGCTGGAAGAGACAGTCATAGACAGGGTTGACCAGGGCCATCATGGGCATGTTGTTCACCTGTGGGGAGAGCCAGAGGGGCAGGGAGGCAGCGTCAGTGACCACGGGGAGCAATCCAGCCTTGGTCTCGGGACACAGGCCATCACTGCTGCCCAGGGTGGCTGCCCTCGCCTCACCCTCAAGTAGTCAAAGATGCTGCAGATGAAGGTGACATAGCACACCCAGCTCAGCCGGGAGCGAGCTCGCAGCTGCTCCCTGGCCTGATACTCCCGCTGCAGCCGGTCAAGGAGCCCGCGCCGGAAGACACTCTGGCCTGCTTGTTTACTCTCCGCCTGTGAGCCAGGAGAGGGTGGTAAGCGGGCACTGGCCACTCCACCCGCCCTAGCCTTTGTCTAGAAATGCCTGTGTCTGCTGCTGGCCAGCCTGTGCCTGATCCTGGGGTGCCATCCTCAAGGCAGCTCCCGCTCTGCCAGCCCCCCCCCAACCTGGATGATGGCGTAGCACATCCGTCCTGCTTCCTTGCTGAACACACAGTCCTGCAGAGAATGGTCCACAACCACATTGGCCACTTTCTCCAAGTCCACAGCGCCTGGATCTGGGGTAGAGACAGGGGCGGAGTCTGGAGCTGCCTGCTGCGTAGTCACATTGGCCTCCAATGCTAAGGACTCAAGGTTTTTTTTTTTTTTTCTTTGAGAGAGGGTCTCATCATGTAGCCTTGGCTGACCTGGAACACTCTTTGGAGACCACAGAGATTTGCCTGCCTCTGTTTCCTGAGTACTGGATTAAAGTTGTGTACCAAAACACTCAAGGATCTGAGATGTTTGTAATAGAACACCTCCATCACATGCTTAAAAGAAGAAGGGGAGACCATCCAGATGGCATTCAGGAGGCAGAAACAAGGAGGATCAGGAGGTAAGGGTTACCCTTGGCTACATACAGAGCTCCAGGACAGCCTGGGTTGAGTGGTGCACAGCTGTAATCGCAGGACTCGGGAGGCAGAGACAGGCAGCCTGACTATATACAAGTTCCAGGTCAGCCAGAGCTACTTAGTGAGATCCCGTCTAGAAAAAAAAAAATTCAGCCGGGCGACAGTGGCGCACGCCTTTAATCCCAGCACTCGGGAGGCAGAGGCTGGCGGATCTCTGATCTCTGTGAGTTCGAGACCAGCCTGGTCTACAGAGCTAGTTCCAGGATAGGCTCCAAAGCTACAGAGAAACCCTGTCTCGAAAAACAAAAACAAAACAACAACAAAAAAAAAAATTCAAAGTTGGAGATGTAAAGGCTGTCGCTTGGGGATCAAGCACTCTGCCTACCCAAGGTTGGACCCAAAGCAGCCAAACCAATAAAAAAGCAGCCTCCAAGAGCCGGGCGATGGTGGCGCATGCCTTTAATCCCAGCACTTGGGAGGCAGAGGCAGGCGGATCTCTGTGAGTTCGAGACCAGCCTGGTCTACAGAGCTAGTTCCAGGACAGGCTCCAAAGCCACAGAAAAACCCTGTCTCGAAAACCAAAAAAAAAAAAAAAAAAAAAGCAGCCTCCAAGAAGACACTTATAACCATGCCTAGGGCAGCTATGTCAGGACCCTGTCAGGACCCTGGTTGCCCAAGCATGAAATAGGGGAGGTGAAGCATGTCTCAGTGGTTAAGAGCTCTTGCCTTTGCAGAGGACCCAGGATCAATTCCCAGCCCCAACGCTGGGCTGTTTATAGCTGCCTGTAACTCCAGTTCTAGGGGCTCTGACACCCTCTTTTGTATCCACGGGCACTGCACATGCGTGGTGCACATCCAGACAAGTAGTGCACACAAATAAACTCAAAACCAAGTTTTTTAATTATATACTGCCACATGTGGCTCTCAGCCTATAATCTCAGCACTTGGGAGGCAGAGGCATGCCGACCTGAGTTTGAGGCCAGCTTGGTCTATATAGTGAGCTGTAGGCCAGCCAGGGCTACACTGAGAGATCCTTGCCAAACAAACAAATATAGGATTATGAGGCTGGAAGAGACCAAAGTATAGATGTACTTTCTTGGGATACACGTTTTATGGTTTTGGCAGTAGACTGAAGAATGTATACTGAATGCCAAGATGTCTACAACCTTTTCTTTTTCTGGTCTTTCGAGACAGCCTAATTTTGCTATTTAATAGCACTGGCTAGCCTACAGCTCAGCATGTAAATTTTTAGGTTCATTCATTTTATATGTATGAATATTTTATCTGCATGCACATACACATACTATGTGTTTGCCTGGTGCTGGCATCGGATCCTGGGAACTCAGTTAACAATGACCGTGAGCCACTCCGAGTCCTCTGGAAGTAATATA